TTTTTCCTGTGCTCACCCAGAAGCCCCGTTAGAAGAACCTTTTCCTATTGTTGATAAGTGCTCACTTATAGGCGTGAGTTTTAAAAGTGTACCTATTCAGGGGTGGAGGATTAAGGTTGCGACCCCCTTCTAGGTTGGACCACGATCACGGTTACCCAGGAAGGCTCGGCGGAGGGATGGGTTCTGCTCCTACCTCGTGTTCGTCCTCCGGTGAGATGAACAGTTACAGGGGACAGGACGAATACCTCTAGGGTGCAGGTCCCCAGGCCAGAGCGAAAAGAAGGAAGATCGAAAAGCAGCCAATGGTGCAAGTAACGCCAGTGGGATCGCGGCCAAGTCGCTGCAGAAAGCCGTTACAGATCTCAATAGCCGCCTTTGATCAGGAGTCACCTGATCAGCAGGGAGGCAAAAAGGCGTTGTCTGGAACGAGCTTCCCGGTGTGTAAGTAATGGTGGTGAGGTGGTCGTTTTCGTTCGGGTCTTCACAGTTTGGAGACAGGCTGGCAGGCTTTGGCTGTGAAGAATCAGAAGAGGTCTTATATAGCGGAGGTAGGTGTGGCTTAGTTGACCTCAGTCATGTAGCGGCGCTGGTTGCTGACCTAACCACAAGATATACACTAGGAATTCGAGGTCGGCTAGCGCGACAACGACATGGGGAGATCACAATATTAAAATATTAAAACTCCTCCTTTGTATAATGTATTTCCTGGATCTTTCTTAAATTACCTTACTTTTGTCACAAGTTGGCCTCTATGGGTGGACTCCGTTTGACTCCTCACTTCTATATATATATATATATATATATATATATATATATATATATATATATGAACACTGATGATAATAATAATATAACCATAAAGAAAAAAATCAAGAGTTAGAACAGTATATGTATGTTGTTGTCAAAGTAGGAGAAACTATCGAGACCCTGCAATTGTGTTAAATGAAAATCAGATCAGCAACCTGGGACTTGGTCACACTTTTCGTGATACCATCAGCAGGGTCTCCATTAGACAACACATTATGCTTCCAATATCTTTCACGTGGTACTGGCGGTGGGATCTCTGAACTACATCCGCATTCCAATGCGACAGTATCCTAGCATGGGGGATCGCCACCTCGTTCTCCTAGCCTAGCAGCAGATCAAGAGAACGAGTTACAGGTTTACTTCCTAAACCGGCTGCTGTATAAGCAATTCTCTCCACTGAGATGGTTATAAAAAAAAAAATTTGACATTCATTCTACCCTACGTTCCTGAACACGCAACATCTCCTCTAACAGGCTGCTAGATACCTCAAGCACGCACTCACTGAACGTGTCTCTCACACAAGCTTCTCACCTCACAGCATCTCCAGCACCAGACTGTCTTTCATATAATATTATATATATATGAAAAAACACCACCCAGTTTCATCAATTCCATCCTGAGTGCTAGACGCATAATATCACGTACCCCTACAGTTACTTCCCCGTTTGGTAGCTGCCGCAAGTCCAGAAAACTGTGAGGGCAAACTTTTTCAGAGTGAGTTGTGCTCTTGGAAAATCTACCAGAAATTTTGTGACCAATCAGAGCAGGTTCAGGTACATTCAGGGCCGGTGCATGCCCAGTATTGCCAACAGTTGCTGTGAGACGTGAACGATCCCCAAGCGCTAACGAGCCTATCTTTTGGTGAAGAGGATAAAGAAAAAAGTAAAACATATCGTACGATGGTACTCCATCTCAATCTCACAGAAAGTTAGGACCTAGATGATCGACTTTCCCTAGGTTTATTGATTGATTAAGGGCGTTTCCACACTACGCTGAAAGATGTAACTAGTAAAGTGATCCGTTTGATTGATAAATATATACCCATGAACCACGGGTCGACAAAGTTAAGAAAACCCAGAAATTCAAGACGTGGGTTGGGTCAAGCGATAAACAGGACAGAGATGCAGAGCCGAGAAAACGAAAAGGCGGTATGTAGAAGGACTGAAAAGGAGTTCAGGGCTGGTTGCAAGTGAGGTCAAGACAAATCCAAGGCGTTTTACCGCTATGTAAAGTCGAAATTAAAAACGCAAGTAGGAGTATCAGACCTGAGGCTTGAAGATTATAGTTATGCAGATTCTGACTAGGATAAAGCTGAGGCATTGAACAGCTTCTTTTTCCCCGGTGTCACAAGAGGATGGATTAACCTTCCTGCGTTTGAGACAGACGGTTCGACACAGCACTGACCACATTGTGTTCACAGAGATATTAAAATAAACTGTCCAGGCTAAAGGTCCATAAGAGTCCTGCCCTGACGTGTTGCATCCTAGAGTGCCAAGAGTTGTGTAACGAGCTTGAGCTGAAGATCCTGTTTTGTAAATGCCTGAATGAACAAAAGGTCCCGTGAATGGAAAGTGGCTTATGGTCCTATCTTTAAAGAGGGCGATCGGCACTCCACGAACAACTATAGACCGGTGAGCCTGACCAGCATAATATGTAAAGTACTTGAGAGTATTATCAGAGATGCCGCGATGGAACATCTATAAAACAGTCTTGTAAAGGATTGCCAACAAGGTTTTATGCCGAGGCGGTGTAACTCAATTGCTCAAGGTATTGGATATTTGAACCCATATTCTGGAACGGGGTTGGTAACATCGACAATATATACTAGTTTTGCCAGGGCTTTCACAGTGTACCCCACGAGGCTGAAAATCAAACTGATGGAATTGAAATGTCCTAGCGTGGATAGAAGACTTTCTACATGACCGCAAGCAGTGTCGCCGCTCACCAAGTCACTATTTGAATTCAGAGTCTGATTTCCTTAAAAAATCCTCTAAATTATGGTTAATATTAAATCTAATATCAAATTCAATCTCTTACTGACAATAAAATATAATTATTGATACCATCTGAAATCAGCCATGACATTTATTATCCACATACACAAATAAGAATGATGAAAAACTACTGTACACAACCTGGGAAGTAACGGGTCTACAGATCTTATTCACTGATTGTGATACCAGACATCATAATAAAGTAAAGTTTCGTTTCTTATAATTATGTCTTTACCATCGGCAGACTGGTTTCAGGAATCAGGACTATTGGGAATCAGAAGGTCCGATATTATTTTGAGGGATCCAATAGCGTGTGTTGAGCGACTCAGTCCCACACTACTAGAGGCGAGTGAGTGTGGCCATCAGGTACTTAACAGCGACTTTGTAGCTAGATCTAGAGCGTTTGTTTTTTCTAGAGACATTTTAGAGCGATTTGCGACTTCTTAAACCTAGAGATATCCACAGAAATCTAGCGACTTTCTGGATACTTTTGGACTGTCCATGAAAACTCAGTTTTCCATTTCGAGCCATAATATATAGCAACGGGGTTACAGGGACAATAAATAATAGAAAAGTTTAATACATTTGAGGGGTCGTGGTACAGAAGGAGGGACGTCTATTTCTGATCACTTGATGTCAGCCCATCCATGGCAAATGTTGCCGTGTCGTCATTTATTTGTCTATTACCTTCGCCTTTGTAGCACCTGGGTAACTTACCTTTTGTCAGATATGTAATATGAATTTCATTAATACGCTAAATTTTAAAGAATATTAGCAAAACATCTTATAGAATTAATTCTATCAAGCCTGCGTGGTTCCAAACTTGTCATCCGCGTCCAATGGGTGACCCATAGACTCCATACAGTTGCCCCGCAAGTCGACCTGTGGAGGCATACAGTTACAAGAGAACCTGAACCAAGCACTTACATGCTTCCAGCTCTACAGTTGTTCACACTACCAAGAGGACTGGGATGCAATTACTATTGAATAATAGGTAAGTGTGCACATTAAACTTTAAAAAGAATATTTTTATTTTTACATAATGCATTTTTTTTATTCTCCGTCCATTATAGTCGGCATTATGAAAATATAATTTGCATCAAATTACTGAAGGGGAATAATAGTAGCGACTTTCCATGGAAGATTTAGCGACATTTAGGTACCAGCTTAGCGAGTTGGCAACCCTGGTGAGTGTGGCCAACGTCAGTGTAGTCTTCAGCTCGATCTGTTACACCTACTTTACTTATAGGTATAATTTAGTTACATGTACGGTGTTGTCTGGATGTCTGTATAGGGTTATTTATCACTTCATTATCTTGAGTTTCATGTTGAGGATAAAACAGTGCTTGACATTGTTTGGTGTGGAGTTATGAGATGATTACTATGACCGTGATTATTAACACTTACTGTATATGAATTCAGCTTCAGATAAATTACTCGTATGTTTAATGGATTAGGTTAATTTGGTATTTTAAGAGTTTTGTACCGTGAGGTTAATATACGAGATGTGGTCTTCAGCTGTTAGGTAGTATGAGTTTTTTTAGATAATTTTGTACACCGATTATTTTCACTTCTATTAATTTTCTTGTGTAAATGCTTAGTTTTCTAGATATAGGCGCGTTAAGATTTAGGTTAGGTTACTTTTTACTTTTATCCTCTTCGCCACTGATCTCGTTGGCGGTCCGACTAATTACCCAAATGTAGCTGCAATGAAGTCAAATAATGGTCCTAGATGAATAAATCGGACTGCCAATCACTTCTCGACTAGTATTTGGTGTCACAAAGTCTCAAAAAAATTGGTAACTTAATTTAATCTGAGTTTTGTTAGGTTAGGTTAGATTAGGTTTGGTTAGGTTAGGTTAGGTACATGCACTAGATCTATTAACTCAGATTAAATTAAGTTTACCAATTTTTGTGACTTTGTGACACCAAATACTAGTCGAAGTGATTGGCAGTCCGATTTATTCATCTAGGACCATTATTTGACTTCATTCCGGCTATATTTGGCTACATTTGGGTAGGACCCCTCGTTAGCTGCTTGGGCGTCGGTCACGTCTGTTACACATGTTGGCAGATACTGGCTCCTGAATATATTGGACACATGATTTGAGCAAATTTTATATTTTTTGTAATTATAACTGACCAGCCAGCAATTTAGTAGTAAACAATTATAAGCCCTGCATTTTCACTGTTTTTTTGAGGACACTCTTAGTTTGTGCAAATTATTATTTTTTTAACCCAACCAAACCTAACCTAGCCCAACCTAACCGAACAACTTTAACCTAACCTAATCTTATAATAAAACCGTTTTATATAGGACACTCATATTTTGTGCAAATTTTTTTTGTTCAACCCATAACCTAATCTAACCTTAGCTTAAAACTGCCGCATTACCATCGAAAATACGTAGGCACCTAATTATTTTCCACAAAAATTTTCACGAAATGTTTGTCATATCAGCACTCTATGGTGAAAATAAAGAAAATTCACCAAAACAAATAATTCATCGGCAGCTCAGTCGTCAATATTAACTTTTTTCCAAACATATCAGTATCCTCTAATAAAATAAGGATTCTATTAACAACTGACTCACGGCTCATTTGTCATAGAAAAGCATTATAAAAATATCGCATTTTCACGTGTTTATAGTGGGCGCTCATAGTTTGTGCAAATGTGTTAAAATGTTCTTTTTAATTAAACCTAACCTAACCTAACCTTAGTTGATAAGAAAAACAAGCTTGAAGACCTATAACCTCAAACAACTACCTACCTAACCTCACCTGACCCCCAGTATGGTGTAATTTTACCTTTTGGGCGTGAAAGGGCTGCCCATACCCACTTATATCTAGAAAACTAAGCATTTGACCTAGAAAATGAATAGAAGTGAAAGTAATCAGCATACAAAACTGTGTCCAACAACATCCTCCATAATTACTGAACGCTGACTGTTACCAGTCATATATTAGCCATCACAAATATCAGAGAAGCATTGGAAGGAATCAACATAAGATTTTCTAAGGTACAAAGTGACCTAATGTCAGGTTACAACTATTTGGAATCCTTGATCTCTTCTGACATTTAGGTCAGGTCCTATGACATTGAAGTTAGAGAATTCCATGGTTTAGTGTGCCTTCATTATCCCTCCTTGGTCTATTGTATTCCTCCGTAAAGGTAATTAATTAATAAAACAACTCTTAAATTAAAGAAAAAAATAATGCATTGCCATTTGGCAATTGTTTCACTAAGGATATGGGAGAATGGGCGTGTTCCCTGTTCTTGCTCGACATACACACTTGTTTCCACTGAGGATGGCTGTTGTGTCCTAAGGCAACATGTTATTCATGCATATTTGTAAATATCTCTTATACTGAATTCGAATGTACAATACAGGTATTGTTTAGTGAAGGAACAGGCAACGTGAGCTTTGACAAGTGTTATCAGTGACCAAGGAACCTAACTATTTCCCATAAGTGTTTAGTCTTGCCAGCCACAGGGTTTTTCGAGGCGAACCCCGTGGTTGGTGAGGACTACTATAATATGGTCAGTGTGTGTCAAACGAAAATCCGAACCAAGCCTGTGGTTTCAAAGCTGAAGCCAGTGCTATGCCTTTAGCTTTAAACAAAGCCCTTTAAAAAGTTGGAAAAAGCTAAGTCCAAAAGCATGACTTCTAGAAGCTTCAGCCTTATTCCTGAATCACACTGCTCCAGAAGATCTGTCAAGTACAAGATAAGACTGGAATCAGATACACTGTTCTTCTGGAATGTATATTGTGTCCACATTTCAAACCAGGAATGTGACTCCTCAGCAAAGTTAACTATGCTGTAGATATCCTTTGTGTCATTTCTGCCTACATTCAACAACCACTGGTCATTTTCTCACATTTCCACCACAACTTGGTTTTACAACTGACATGGCAGTAGGTGTAAATAAGAAAAAAAGTCCCTAACGGTACCAAGCTCGGAGCCTTCCACTATTATATTTGTTTTGCTCCTATTCTCATTTATGAATAAAAATGCAGTACAGTATTGGGGAATATTAGTGTTTGTAATTATGTGTTGTATTGTACAGTATTGCACTAGACAAATTGTGCCATAACCCAAATAATATAGTTATAAAAAATTGAGGGGAAAAATGAACCTACAATATACAGCTCCTCCCCGACTTACGACCTACTCGACTTACGACCACCCGGACATACGACCGCCTCAGTCGTACCAAACTTTTTTCAAATTACGTATTTTCGAGTCCCAACGTCAGTGATTGCGCTCTGTACTGACAAAATTTTTCTTTGTAATTCACTCTAAAATGGTTGGCAAGCTTAAAATTGAGAGTTGTGGTGCTGAGAAGAAAATGAGACACCCATTTTTTATTTTCTATGTATTATTTAAGCATTTTCTATTTACAACCATTTCGACTTAAGACCTGGATTTGGGTTCCTAACTCCGTTGTACGTCGGGGAGGAGCTGTATACAAAGTATTTCGGAAAATTGTAAATTTAACTGTAAAATAATGAATGCAGGCGCAGTTTTGAAAATATGTGACCTAACACCAAGTACTGTATACCATACAGTACACTGTTCCTCTGTGATGTCGACTTCATGACGGTCTTACCCGAGTCAGTCAGCCTGGCCCAACCTCCAGAGCAGTGCCGGATTTAGACCTGTGGAGGCCCATGGGCAGCCTCTTTGTGGAGGCCCCCCTCATTATAACTACCCAAGAGGGTGGGGTGGCGAGTGAAGCGAGCCTAAACATCTGGGAGTTCCAGGGGGCGCTGTAAGCCCCCCGGGAAAATTTTGAAATTTGAACACTTCTTTGGAGAATTTTGAAGCCATATGCAGTTATATTGAGGAAATTAGAACACAGCGCCCTGATGGCATTCGTAATGGAAGTGATAATGAAAAAAATATGTTTTGTTTTTTTAATCTCAATTTCGTCATTTCATGTAGTTCATTTTTAATCAATATATGTTTGTGGAATTCTAAATATATTATTAGCAACACAAACAATAGCATTCATTAAAAATATACTGTTCATAGGAAAACCAGGTATTCATGAATTTCAAGGAGTAGCTAGCCTAATTTCTATCACGCTTCTTGCTGAACATAGTTTTACGTGATGGAATAGATAAACATGAATTTTAAAGAATGATAATAAAAATAATCCTAATGAATAAAAAAATAAATAAAATATTCTAATGTGGAGGCCCCCAGATTGTGGAATGCCCCTGGGCAGCTGCCCACTTTGCCCACTCCTGAATTCGGCCCTGCTCCAGAGGAATTGTCTAAAGTATCGGCTAACCACAAGTGTCCAGTGTGAGGATGTTAAGGAATGAATGGTTCACTTAAAAAGTTTTAATATTGTACACACATTGTGAACAAGGATTATGGGAAAAAAATTCTCATTTTCTAGACGGGTGTAAGTGAACCACCCTGTGGACACCCATGAACCCTCATATTTGACCAAAGTTCTATGTTATTTATTACTGTACTTGTGTTCTTTTTTACCGTGCATTATTTGAGATTTTAGTCTTAAGCCTTTATTTTAATTCGGCGACATATGTCCTAAGTTGTTGCGTCACCTGGGTTGTAATTAACACAATCAATTAATCGATCATTTCTTGAAATTGTCAAAGCAATTTACAAAGTTTAGTCAGAAAGTTATCATATTCTATACAAAGATATTCTAAAGCTACTGGTTATTTGCCTTTGAAACAAAACCCTCAGCATGTAAACTGTGATATGGCATTACTAGGAGGTAGTGTGTTGGTATAGAATAGTGTTCAGGACACCCCTCCCCACCCCCCCCCCCAAAGCCAAGGTTAATCATATGGTAAAATATTGTCTGGTGAATGGAGTAATTCTCAAGAAACTTAACCTACCCTCTAGTGAGAGATAAAGTGATGGGTGCAATTTCTCAGCCATTGTGAGAGGCACCGTGATGAGATTTGTCCATATGATTAACCATGGTGAAAAAAATGATACACAACAATATAATGTACGATGCAAATTGTAAATCTTCATAATTTTAAGGGTTTTCCTGTGGTAAGAAAGTACTTTATCTTCTATAAAAAATATTGTAACATTATTGGCTAACCTGCAAAATACAATACAGTACTGTATACTGTACCAGAGTATTACAGTATACAGTACAGTATTGTAAGTATATATAGACACAGTACAGTACTCTGTATACAGTATATGATATAGCCTCATTTTGTTTTGTTTCAGTAACACGGTTATTGCACTGTCCAGCCATGAGTGAGATGCGTTACTTCACAAATCCTTATCCAAAGGATGTTGGAGAAGATAGTCAAGAAATTTTAGATGACACAAAACAAAAGGTAGGATTTTTAATGTTATTACAGCATAGTGTATGTGGCCAGTTGTCAAATTTCTCTGTGTTTGTCTATTTTATCTTTGTTAGGCTCACATACGTACATATATGTAGGAGATCTCCCACGAAGGATGGAGGTGAGAAGGAAACTCACAATGGCATTTTCTATATATATATATATATATATATATATATATATATATATATATATATATATATATATATATATATATATATATATATATATATATATATATATATATATATATATATATATATATATATATATATATATATATATATATATACAATGCAGTGCTAGGGAGTTGCTGTGTGTGGTGAGGAGCTTGTTGAGAGGAGGTTTTGTCTGTTTGAGAGCGCTGAGTAGAATAACCTTCACGGCAAGGCTGGGGGTATTTATACGATTTTGTCGGATCAGATAGACAGATCAGAAGTGAGCGGCGCTGCTGATTGGCTGAGGTGAAGGCGGTAAGTGGCCACTCATCTCACAGTCCGAAAGCGAGGCCCGGTGTGTGGAACTCGCCGCTGGTTGGCTGGTAAGCGGACAGCAAGTGATCAATCGGCAGTTGTAGGGGAGAGTGTCCACTACAATACTCCCCCCTCCCCTCCGAGCGCTGCAGGAAACATGTTGTCGGTAGGGTTGTATTCCACATGTGAGATAACGGGCGGGGGTGTGAACCACTCGGCCGCAACAGGTGACTACTCCGTCTAGTGACACGAAATCTGTGGGAGAAGGAAGGTTGTAGATAAGAGAAGGTTGAACAAGTGAGGAATGTGGTGCTTCTCTCGCGGCAGGTGCAAAGTCCTCAGGAGCACCGGGTGGGGTGTCTGGGTCCATAGGGCTGGATGCAGGATCAGGAGCAGTAAGTACCTGAGGGAGAAAGAGGGTGTTGGGGGCGGCAATGGTGACCAGACAGGTGAAGGGGGCGCATGCGTGGTTTGTTGGGGGTAATGCTGGGCTGGGGCCCCATCGGGTGAGGTGGCCGGCTTCACTCAATCTACGCTGACGGTGTCGTATCTGCCATTGCGAATGATCGTCGGGAACTTCGCTGACCGTGCAAAAACCGGGAAGGGTCTGTAGTAGGGGCATTGAAATGGGTTGCGGTGAGCATCGCGCCTGACGAAGACATGCTTGGCGTTGAGTAGTGCAGGAGGGTTGTGTTCGAGGCGATGGGAAGGCTGGCGTGGGGCAGTAGCCTTGAATGCAGAAATTGCTTATCGTAGTGTTTGCAGTAGGTCGTGACGGGCAGCAGGAGTGAAGTGGTCAAGGTCAGGAGTAAGTGAGAAGTCCCCTGGTAGGTGAAGGGGCTGCAGTCCATGTCCTCTGTGTGATGCACGGATGCCAAGGAGCACTAAGGGTAGAGCATCCGTCCAGCTGTAGGGGTCGTGCTGTGCCTTGATGGCATCCTTCAGCTGCCGATGAAACCGCTCTACCATGCCGTTGAATTGAGGATGGCAAGTAGTGCGGTGTTTGGAAGTGCCGAGGTACTGTAGGAGACTATGCCAGAGTTGTGACTCAAACTGGGCTCCTCGGTCAGTGATGACGGTCGTGGGAGGACCGAAACGGGAGACCCAACCAGACAGGAAGGCGCAGACGGCAGACTGCTGTAGCATTAGGCATCGCTTCTGTCCACCTGGTGAAACGGTCAATGCAGGTGAAGATGTAGGTGTTGCTGCAGGATGATGGAAGAGGTCCCACGATGTCGAGGTGCACTACCTGGAAGCGTCCTTTGGGTACAGGAAAGGTCTCCAAGGGGGCCCGTGTGTGTTGATGTATCTTAGTTGACTGGTAGGCCAAGCACTAGGCAGCCCATTTCCGAGTGTCAGCTTTGATGCCGGATGAGACATGTTGCGTGAGGAGGCGCTGGGAGGCTTGTACATGTGGGTGGCCGAGTCCATGGATGTAGTCGGTGACATGCAGCGGTGAGACGCCTGAAGTGACGGAGGTAGTGGCGTTTACCAACCGACGTCGCTTCCTCGTGTAGTTGCGGGGAGCCTCACAATGTCTAGCTTTAGCACCGAAGTATTGATGGTACCAGCAGAGGGTAGGTGCACAGTGCTGGGAGCTGGCGGCGGTGTCCGAGGCAGGACGAAGACGTCAGGGTTGGTAGGACACGGTGCGTGGGGCAGGAACAGGAGCAGAGCTGCTCGAGGGTGTCGAGACTGTAGCAGGACCCTCATTATCACATAACCTGTTATATGACTATTTAAAACATTTTAATTAATGATATGATATATTTCCTCTATAAAACTGATTTTACAAATGCAGTACATGAAGCTGTTAAGGATATTAAAGTGGTAAATCTATGGAACAGTCTACCAGCCTAAGCTGTACAAGTGAGAACAGTATTGTACTGTACTGGGCTTCAGAATAACCCTATACAAAACTAGTCCCTTTACAGTATACTGAGAATAGAGACATAGCGGGTCTTGGGAAATGATATCACGTGATCACTGGGCACCATTTTGTTGCCATCCTTGCACATCATTTAGCATCTGGCCATTGCTTTGGATGAATGAGTGATTTTTTTTCCATTATGCTGGAATGATATGCATTTGGATGCAGCAATAGGTCAGACAAGGGATTTAAGATGCACAGATTACCAGCAGATCCTAAAAGAAGGAAAGTGTTGGAAAATAAAGTCAGTCATGTGTGTTGGAAAGCAACACCACCATCATTGTTGTGTGGGGTAAGATTTATGGCCGTACATTACTGTTAAACACGTGGAGAGAAGCAGATGATTGCCTGTAACAGTGGAAGATACCGGGGCAAGTCTGACCTTACGCTCTCCTTGTTCCCCTTATTACCTGTATTATTGTCTTAATTATTTTTATTATAATACTGTACAGGAAATATGTGACTTATCAGTTGCTGTGTATGATACTCTGCAATACTGAATTATGGTACAGTTTATTAAGCATTTAGTGTAATCTGAAGTCTGTATACTGGAGGCAATGTTAAGTTTTCCGTGCAATAAATCCATGACGGCAGTTCATCCACTGGCAAAAAGTCAATGGTGCAATTGGAACACTGGTCACACTGGCAAAAGGATGGCTTCATTGTATGTTTCTATGGCAGTATTAACCACAATATGAGACTGCCCCAAGGAAGACTAGCAGTATCCATTGAAAATTTGGTGTGTGTTTGTAGCATCCAGGCGATGTTTACTTACAAAAGTGAAGCAAGTACTACTCTAGAGTCAAATGAAATTCCCATTGTGATGTATTCTTATTATTATTTTTTATGCATGACATTTTGGCTCGTATTTTGTTGAAATACACTTTTTATATATTTTTTTTTCTACATTTTAACAAGTAAAAATAAGAATGATGTAAATTTTATTAATATAAGACTCTACAGCAAATTTCAACTGACCGTACTGTGGATTTTCAGATTCTCAGTATCGTGCCACCTTCGACAACAAGTAAGTTCTCGCTGTAGAGATCACTTGAGTTCATTAACCCTTAACCCTGGGTTAGGGTATTGCTGTATACCCCCCCGTGGGGATAAATTGTGGAAAAAATCAAATTTTCCAAAAATAATTAAAAAAAAGTGGCGGGAAAATAGGCGAACGTTCCGGGACGCGCTAGTCAGACGTTCTGGGACGTCACCCTGGGTCTAAGGGCTAAAAATAAGATGAATGAACAGGCTTTGTGTGAAATAAAACAAAGCCTAGGATTGCTTTTGTTGTCCTTGTGGTGCGGTGGTGGTGATCCCTGGTCACACGCAGCAGTCCAGGGTTCGATTCCCAACTATACCCTTTCCACACTAACCTGGCCCATAAGCCACGCCCCTCTTCTCTACTAATAACTGATTGGTTCATAGAAAATTCAAACTAAATGTGTTCACAATTGGTAAGCAGATCTGTTATTATCTAAAATGATATTAAATATATATACAGTCGGCCCTTAACATACGCGGGTTTAACTTAACGGATTTGCAAATACGCGGATTGCCGCTGGAGGAATATACATTCAAAGGAATATACATTATTCAAATCGCGAGCGACACCACACACTGCACACCACACACACACATCGCCCGCGCCACCCTGCGTTCCCGGGCTCCCTCAGTCAGTCAGTCTCGCTGTAACCACGCTTGTGTTGACATCAGCAGTGTAGTTGCAAAAATCTTACATTTCCGTGAATGTATTATATCAAGCACAGTATGAATATAATATCACTAATATAACAGTATTTTAACCGAAAATTATTAAAAAAACGAGTAACATCTTGAACATCGGAAGGTTAGGTAAAGTCTTTTGTTTTCATGTAGTTTATCCTAATTTACATTGAAATACATTACGTTTCAGCAAAACTACTACGTATTTATTTCTGAGAATATGGAAATGTAATATTTTTGCTGAAATGACATACGTATTACAGTGGAAAGTGACGAAAGCAATGAGTTTCGCTTTCTTTTGTTCAAAAGATGTTCCCGTAATCGCTTTTCGAATGGTTTTCAGTTAAAAAACTGTTGTATTCCAATAATATTCTATCCTAATTCACTTGTGATGCAACAGTTTTTAACTGAGAACCATTTGAAAAGCGATTACGGTAACATCTTTTGAACGAAAGAAAGCGAAAGTCATTGTTTTTAACACGATTTTATCCCACTTTCCACTGTAATACGTACGTCACTTCAGCAAAAATATTACATTTCCGTGAATGTATTATATCAAGCACAGTATGAATAGAATATCATTGTAATATAACAGTATTTTAACCGAAAACTATTAAAAAAACGAGTAACATCTCTTGAACATCGGAAGGTTAGGTAAAGTCTTTTGTTTTCGTCATGTATTTTATCCTATTTTACATTGAAATACATCACGTTTCAGCAAAACTACTATTTATTTCTGAGAATATATTCATTCAGGCGCAGTTTAGGTAAAATATACATGTGATGTAACAGCTTTTTAACTGAAAACGATTCGAAAAACACGTACCCTCTAGCCCTGTTCAAGGAGAAGACTGGGAGGAGCTGTTTGGTGCTGAAGACGATGACAAGGAAAATGATTTTGATGGATTTTAATGAAAATATTCAGAAATATGTATCGTATTATTTATTCAAGTGAATTAGGATAGAATATTATTGTAATACAACAGTTTTTTAACTGAAAACCATTCGAAAAGCGATTACGGTAAAATCTTTTGAACAACGAAAGAAAGCGAAAGTCATTGTTTTCGTCATGATTTTATCCCACTTTCCACTGTAATATGTACGTCATTTCAGCAAAAATATTACATTTCCATATTTATTTCTGAGAATATATTCATTCAGTCACAGTTAAGGTAAAATATACTTGTGATGTAATATTTTAATGAAAATACCCGGTATTTAGAAATACGGTATCGTAGTTTTCTTTTGTTTCAAATTTAATTAACAAAGATTGATGTTTCAAATGTAATGAACAAAAATTTATGTATCTATAAATAAACTTTAAAAATTAATACTTTATGTTTTACATCGTCCTGTGCTACCATACCATGCATTTGGCTACTTTGGGCTTGCTATGATGACGCAAGAGATCTGCCCTGGCAACTGTACCGACACTCACAGCTGGTGGTGCGTCGTTTCCATTGTTTACTGGTAGTTACTGGTAAATATTTTTCAACCTAACGAAACTATTACCCTTTTAGAGGTCGACCCCCAATTTTTTGCCAAAAAATTTGGTCTTAAAAACTCAAACTACACACAGGTATATACGGTAAATAAGGACATGGGGGGCCAGGGGTGTTTTTGGGGGGGGGGAAGCAAAATCTGCTGATTCAGTTACATAATTGGGGAATGGGTTTCGATTTACAATATACAAATAACATAAGTGATACAAATAAGATATATAATAACTAGATGGGGAAAAGCTCAGACTACAGGGCATTTCAACATAGTGACAGTGCAAGTAGAGGTTTACTGGGAGTGAATACACTGGTTTATTACAAGTTATTGATAATTTTCACAATGGTTGGGACTGGGCTGTTCTTATAGCGATCAGTTCGTGCACGTATGGGCTGGATGCGGTTGTGGTGTCGAACAGCAATTCTCGGGCTAGGGATCTCAGGTGGTAGTAGGAGCCGGTGTTGAAGATGGTGTAGAAGCTTCTTACCAAATTTGCAGATGAGGTCGTGGTGATGGTCAGTGAGAGTCGAGAGGGTCAGTGTGTTGAGTGCTTCGTGATATGTGGAGTAGGAAAGGGAGAGAATAATCTTGCATGCCCTCTTTTGTACTTTTTCTGTGTGTTTACGTTGTGTGGCATTTAGGGAGGAAGACCAGGTAGGGGAGGCATAGGTGAGCTTGGGAAGTATGAACGTTGAGTAAACACTGAGGAGCTCGGGTGCAGGAACTCCGAGGGACTTGAGTCGGCGGAGGAGGTTGAGACGGAAACTGGAGGATTTGACAACTTCACAGACGTGTGGTTCCAATTTAGTTTGTTGTCTATGGTGACGCCGAGGAGCTTAGGGGAATCTACAACCTGGAGGGTGTTCGGACCTAAAGTAATAGAAGGGGGTGGGACAGTGTCGGAGGAGAGGTTGATGTGCATAACCATGGTCTTGGTATGATTGATGGTGACGTGGTTGTTGGTGGCCCAGCTTTGGAGACAGTTCAATAAATCCTGAAGGGCGGTATAGTTGGGAGCAGAATTGTTGACGCTGATCCTGATGGTGGAGTCGTCGACATATTTCCAGCGAGCAGAGGTTTCGTCACTGTGTAGACAAACTTGACTGTTGTAAGACTAAAACATGGAAATGTATTGTATAGGCAGTATGTGGTGAGTAGAGATGTGTGAAATGCAGTCCTCCAAATTTTTAACTGCAGCCATCGTTTGTCTGTACTCTACAGTATATTAATATACTGTCTCAAGTTCTTGAATTACCAATAGACTATATTTTGTGTCTCATAGTTAAGGTTTGACCTCACAGGCAAAAAGCCTTTCTTTAATAGTTAAGTTGTTTGGTGGATGAATTAAATATTGTGACAGGCAACAAATGTGTAATCTTAAAAGAATGATCATTTTATGTTGCAGCTCTCCCAGCAGTACATCAGTAAGACACAGAAGAGTATAGATACACTGCAGAAAGTACTGGATGAAGGACTGTCAAAGGGAGGTGAATTAAGTGACTATTCTGTATACACTGGAACAAGTGGATATGTACTTCTTTACCTCCACTTGGCAGAAATTCTGGGAGATGACACATACCTACAGGTGAGTAGCACTCTTGGTGCCCTGCAGAATGTAAAAGAAAACTTGATTGCTGTTATGAAATTGTTTTTTGTTGTTTTATGTCTATATCTGATATACCTCATTTAACTTTTTCCAGAAAGCTACACCATTAGTGAACAAGGCATTTCGGAATTTAAAAGGTCGTAGATTGTCTTTCTTGTGTGGAGATTCTGGACCTTTAGCACTTGCGGCCATCTTAAATGATAAGACCAAAGAGAAAGAGATAGTCAAAAGCAGTATTACAAGGTGAGTCTCTTACAATATTCAGGGTCATAATTTAAGACAACAATCATTTGTGTATCATTATTTAAGATAGAACTATCATTAAGCCAAATACTGTACTGTATAGCAGTTATTTAGTACAGTATTGTACTATATCATACTGTAAGATACAGATAATCTTCATTGTTAAATATATAAATTGGAAACTGAATTCCTTCTTTCCACTAATTTTGTTCCATAGGAACACTAGACACTCTAGCTGCCTTTGACATATTCTATAAATGTTAAGCAAAATGTTCTCATTGCTGCAACTCATGATATTAGAAATACTGTACGTATCAGGATTAGACAAAAAAATTTAGATAGAATAAAAGAGGGACATTTTGACTAAGCATGTTAATAACCCAACCTGTTGGAGGGTAATAATAATAATAATAATAATATCTGCAATCTCGTCTTTTGTATCTTGTACAGGATCATAAACTTAAAAAAAAGAAAACTCTTAGGTTGTTACTTAAAGGCCTCCACAGAAGTCAGCAGCTTCATGGATGCAGGCAACTGGTTGTACAATCTGGGTGTTGTATAGGAAAAGGATCAAGCAGTAAATGAACACTCCTGTACTGTTAGGGTGTGAGGGATCATCACTACTATGTGTAGTCAGTGGAATTACTAGAATGGCCAAATACTTAGGCTCACCAAACATTAGTGTCATAAAAGTCATTAGACAGAGTTTGAACTCTAACTTAGCTTTAATTGGAAGCCAGTACAATTTGATCAGTAATGGGGTAGTGGAAGTCCTCAGTGGGAGAGCAAAAGCATGTCAACCCTGTTCAACACTGTTTGAACTTTCTTAAGGTAGACAGACCCATAAAGTGTTACAATAGTCAACCCGAGACAAAACAAGTGAATGTAATAATGTCACAAGACACTCTATCCCAAAACTGCTTCACAACTTATAGATTTCAAAAATTAAATTTGCAACTCTTAACCACTAATTTTATATGTTCATTAAAATTCAGTTTTGAGTCAAAGTACACGACAAGATTATGAACAAAATGGACAGGTCTGAGTTGTACTTCCCCAAAGTTTAAAGAGCCAACATCATCTGTGCCGTCTTCTCTCCTATTTCCTCGGATGACAATAATCAGTTTTGTCGTCATTCAACTTAAGTTTTCTCCTAGTCATCCAAGTCTTAATATCAGACATCACGGATTTCATTGTCTCCTCAATATCCGCAACATTTATTAGTGTTTATTATCGGCATGGAAATGGTAGGCAACACTATTAGCATCCAGCAGAGATGCAAGACTGTAAACAGAAGTGGTCCCAAAACTGATCCCTATGGGACTCCAAACTGCAAAGGAACCGGGTCTGAAATGGTTCCACCAACCATAACACATTGAGATCACTCTGAAAAATAAGATTCGAGCAGTGAGTGTGTGTCATCACGGACACCAAACGACCAAAGATCCTGAAGCAACAGATGATGATCCACTGTGTGAAAGGCTGCAGAGATCCAGCAAGACCAGAAGAGATTTCCTGTGAAATTGTTTATTACCAAATTGTTATGAATTTTACTTAAGGCCTAAATGATGCATTAGATAAGGTTGCTCATTGGACCACAGAACATGGCTTCAGATTTTCTCCCTTGAAGACCGTTGCCATGTACTTCTGCTGCCTCCAAGGTGTTCATCTCGATCCTGATCTACAGCTCTATGGTCGTTGTATGTCACAGAGACCTGTTTCCTGGGCATTATCTTCAACAACAGGTTTACTTGGCAGCCACATTTGTTGCCTCAAAGAGTCTTGCCAGCGTGCCCTCAAGTTATTGAGAGTCTTGGGGTACACATCATGGGGTGCTAACCAAGGAACTCTGCTGCTCCTTTTCCACATGCTAGCTAGGCTTAAACTGGATTAAGGGTGTGAGGTGTACTCCTTAGCCACTGAGGCTAGACTCATACACTGAACTCTTTTCATTATGCTGGGGTGCACCTGGCTACTGATGCCTTCAGGTCCTCACCAATCCCAAGTCTACTCCTGTTCAGATATGCCCCCTGCGGTTCCCTTGTGCCTCTCCGTGGATTCTCCCTGAAGCTCAAGCTTGTCAGTGCAGTTATTTTAATGAAAGGTAGGACTTACTCCTTCCCTGTGTGGCTTTTTTTTTGTAGCATACCTTCTCTTACAGTAGTTTTGGGGTGGTCTTTTCCTACTTCTGTCGGGGCGGAAATCTACCTGCTATTGCATCTATTTTTACGGTAAAGGTTTCGGGTATTTTACTTGCCCTCAAGATTATTTTTACCCAACCTCATGACAATTTTTAGCAATTCTGGTAGTGCTCTCCAGGTGAAGAAGAGGAATGAGCATGCTTATGCAGTGGCAAAAGCAGCTGCTTCTCGCCCTGTGGCATAATCATTCCCTTCTACCTACCATTAATAAGAGCTGCCATCCACTTGAGTTGGAAACACAGATGGGTGCCTGAGGATATCAGAGACTCGCTCTGCTGGGAGACGGCTTTGGCCTGCTTCTTCATTGGCCACACACGGCTGACTTATGGTTTTTAAAAGGAGAGGGCGCCCCCTCCCTATTGTGTTGATTGTTTGATACCTCCTGATGGAGTGCCCCAGTCTCAGAGTACCTCTCCAGGTGCCGGGGGGATACGGGTCTTACCATCTCTTTGGTCCTGGGGAAGGGAACGGGTAGCATGGGAGGGACGTCCTCTCCTTCGTGGAGGAAACCGGCCTCCTACACAAACTTTGAATTTTATATTTTAATGTTGAAATATTTTTATGAAGGTTTTGTTATTTATTATCTACATTTTGTATTTTATAATTTACTTTGCATTATCTGTTTTTAACCTTCTAAGCTCTTAGTTTAATTAGGCGACATATGACCTAAGCTGTTGTTTCGCCAGTGATATAAATACAGTACCACAATCATTCACTTGATCAATTGTCTTCTGCTCTCTTCCTGGAATAATTAACATCACCATTGTTTGCATTATTTTACTTAGAATCTTACCATTTTTCTGTGGGTGAATGTGTGAGAATCTTACCATTTTTCTGTGGGTGAATGTGTGAGAATCTTAACATTTTTCTGTGGGTGAATGTGTGAGAATCTTACCATTTTTCTGTGGGTGAATGTGTGAGAATCTTACCATTTTTCTGTGGGTGAATGTGTGAGAATCTTACCATTTTTCTGTGGGTGAATGTGTGTTGAACTATAAGCTAACGAAAGTGCAGCATTATGGGCAAGTCCATTCTAAGAGTGGGGGAATAAACAGCTCACTCGTGGATCCTAGAGGAGGAGAGAGGCCTCAAAAAGGATCGGTCGCTGGTGGGAATTTCAAATGGCCGTGCACTGTGGATATTTCGAACAACAAATATTTAAGGGTTCAGACAAATGTTCGTTGCCCAGAAAGGGTTGGGACTATTTGAAATCCGGATTTATGGGGCTTTGATTTTTGAGGGTTTACTGTATTATATATTTTTCTTTTTTTAGTATTAAGGAGATGGAACGTGCTGTACTCGACATCGAGTCGGATCTTCCAGATGAACTTCTTTTTGGAAGAGCTGGATATCTATATGCACTTCTTCTTATCCAGAAAAAGGTCTGCCACTCTTTTATTTTTGTCTTTTAACACCACCATTTGTTTGATACAATTTTGAGTTAAGTCATAACTACAGTTTGTATTATTAGAAACGGTAGAAAGTTTTAAAATCTTGCCTGATTTATTTACAGTACATGTACAGGTAGTCCCCGGATTATGACCGAGTTCCATTCCTGGGGACGCTCTGAGGTAAAAAATGTGCCTAAGTCGGAACACGTGCTATGTACTTACAGAGCAATGTTTAAAATCCCACTATGTCATGCTTAAGTCCTTCTATACATCCAAAATCACTTAATTTAAGGCAAAAGAAGAAATAGAATGACAAAATACAGTAAATGAAAGTAAACAATAAATTGGGTAAATAAAATACAGCTTGCCCTTCAAATTCGCGGGGGTTAGGTTCTCAAAATGGCCACGAATTGCCAAAATCTGTGAATAACATTCGCTGAATGGGAGGGGGGGGGTTACATTTTTTACTTATGTACAAATAAATGTATATTCCTTTCACGTGTTTGCCCTTAGGATAATTATTTCTTTTACCTGTATTGTATATATGTGTGTCTACACACACACACACACACACACACACACACATAAAACACGTACAAATAAATAATAATGGGAAAATCCTCCCACAAATAATATAATCAGAAACAAATGTATTAAAAATGTTGAGTCTACCCTCAAGTCCACTCCTTGCTTTATTAGTAGCAAAGCACGGAGTAGACTTGAGGGTAGACTCAATATTTTTAATATATTTGTTTTTTATTATTTGTGAGAGGATTTTCACATTATTATTTATTTGTACATGTTTTGTGTGTGCGCGCACACACGTACACTGATCGACTCGTTAGCCGCTTGGGCGATCGGTCACGTCTCTGTTACGCACTGTTGTCAAGTACTGGGCATGCACCGGCTCCTGAATGTACCTGAACCTGCTCCAGTGCATATCAAGTCTGATCTTGAAAGAGCTCACACATGTATACAATACAGGTAAATGAAAGTACTGTCTCTAGAACGAATGGCTCCCTGTCCCTGCTGCGAAAATGCCAGCAACTTTAAAACTACCCTTACACATTCTTGGGTACATCCAGGGTGTCATTTGTGAATAATCATTGTCCGTAAATTTTAAGGTCATGCTGTTCTGTAAATTTAAAGTTTAACTTTGTTGATATCGGCGGATATTCGTAAGTCAGGTGTTCATAACCTGAGGACTGCCTGTATACAGTTTTCCCTTATTGCATTACTTGTACTTAATGTCCAGTCCATCATATTGATGTACAGTATCATTTCTCAGATTGGGAAAGAAGTCATAGATGATAAAATGATACGATCTGTGGTAACGGCAATATTACATTCTGGACGTGCCCTATCGAGGACGAATAAATGGACTGTCCCTCTCATGTACCAGTGGCACGACAAGCACTACCTAGGAGCTGCCCATGGTATTGCTGGAATAATGTTCATGCTGTTACAGGTTAGTTAGTTATATTATTATTAAGAAACTAACATATAATACCCTAAACTAAAACAATGCCTGTGTCTAACACTGAGTAACTGAGCAGTATTTTCTGAATTATTCATAGATCAGGAATTTTTACTCATAGTTCCTAAAGAGTGCATTAAAGACTCAAAGGTGTCTTGTACATTACTGTATACTGTACCTATATTACTGTATTATGCATTACTTTACTGTACCTGTATTAAAAAACATAGAAAATTGTGATTTCCTCGACTAGATGGGTTTGTTTAGCAATATTAAGGTGGAGAATCTTTTCCAGTGATTTCTCTGCCTCAATTTTATCTTCCAGCAAACAGCTAGGTGTGTTCTTAAACTGATAATAGTGTGACTGTGCAAATCTTGGTCCTGAAAGTTGGTTGTCTAGTTTGTGTCTGGAGTGCTTACTGTTGTTCTGACTACACTCGATTAGTTTTTAGGCTTAAGTCGGGAACAACAAAGAAGGAAAGGGAATTGTCCTCTGTTTTTTAGTTATGTGTATAAAACCTACTAAGAAATTATGTACTGTCAGTTAAAAAAAAAATAATCGACAAATTTGAGTTACCAGTAGATGCACAAAATCCTCTCTTGACCCACTTCCTGCTTCTCTGGTATCATGCAGTGCATCCTTAGTTGGGTAATATTTCCTTACATCTTGTTGTTAGCAGTAAATATTATGTGGACTTCCAGTATGTATTGTTGCAGAATGGGACGATTGGGCGCCAGGTTTTTGGGTGCCATACATTTTGGCACCAGGAAATAAAATCTTGGTTGATTCGTCATTATTCAAAGGCCAAACTTTAATTTTTTTTATACCTTATACCTTTTATACCTGTATACCTAAAAAATTAAATCTGTTAATCAATAAAAACAAGGTTATGCACTTTTTTAGCTCTTCATTTGGTAATTTTGAGCAAGTCTCCTCAGGTACTCGACAGCATCTAAGAACAGTTTCGTGTATTCTTCTATCTGCATCTTATACTTTTTTAGTTTCTGCGGTGGTTCATGCCCAGCTAGTAACCGTTCATAATATGCATCTCTACCTTTCTGTACTTAACGCAGCCCATCTATTAATTTCCATGTGGTGGGATGTTACATGCTAAGTTCACATTTTAATTGACGGTAGGATGTCTCTGAATGATTATTTGTGCGGTCTTCCCCGTTTAAAGTTCTCTGATAAAAGTTCCAAATCTCCGGGACAAAGAGGAGCTCGTCTTCCATTTCCTCGTCTGTTTTGACGACCAACATATGTATCTTCAAAGCAGTTGAGTAAACCTTGAAATTCTTGTGGCAACTCGGTCGCTAGAGCATCCAGATATTCGTCAATCTTGTACAAAGGCAAGGGCAATAATCATTTTAGCATATAATGTGAAATCTGGATCAGTGTTATACAGGTTAGTGAAACCCAATCTAGCTTGATGTTTTTGTATATTTTGGGCTAAATGGAAAAAAGCGTCCTTTTATTTGAACATCAGGGAACGAGTCCTTCATAGCACTGTGCGCAGCTTGTTCAAAATCGCAGACGATTGAAGTGGGTCTCAAATTGGGTTCCATTTCTTTCATTAACTCGAACATTCTCACATGTGTGGAATTTAAAAACATAAGTATAATGGGGGAGCAGTACAACCTGGGTTGTACAGTAATAAGGTTGAACAAGAGGACAGAGCTTTCAGGATTATGTCTAGTTGGCAATTATGTTTATTGCAATGGTAATTACTTATTTATTTACATGATAATTTCCGATAAAACGGATTTGATGGTACAATAAAAGCAGGTACTGTAAATATAGTAAGTGTTACAAGAAATATTAATACTTCGACAATAGATATTTTTTTAGAGATGATTTAAAGGAAGGGAGCGTAGTCTTTGCTCGGATGGGTGGGGGTAAGTTGTTCCACACCTTCACACCATGATATTTTATGGAGGTCTGGGACTGAGAGGAGCGCATGGGGGGTGGTCTTAGTAGCTCTGGGTGCCTTAAGTTGTATCTCTGATTATTCCGGAACTGGAAGTAATTATTGTCAAGCAAGTGATTGATAGATTTGTAAACAAAGAGGGCACAGCAGTAAGTGTTAATATCTTCGAATTTTAAAAATTTCAATATAGCAAATTTTTCGTTTGTGTGATCTGTTTTTTTCAAGTAGGTCATTGTCCGTACAACTCTCTTTTGTGCAGTAACCAGAGATTGTGTTTTTGAAGAGCCAGAGGCCCCCCCATAGTGTGTGACAGTGTATCAGGTGTTGGTAAACAAGATCATGATAGATTTCTTTCATTGCTGTGAGAGTGAGTGACTGTCGAGTGTGATACATGATACTGCACTGTTTATTGATTTTACTGTGTATGGCTTGTATGTGGTTTCTCCAGTTAAGTTTCTCATCAACAATAACTCCGAGGAATTTAGTATTTTGTTCGCGTTTGAGGACTGTATTACCAAGGTACCAAGTCTGGAGGTAAGTTTTTTCTTCTGTGAAAGATCGTGTAGTGGGTTTTCTCAAGATTTAGGGTCAGTTTATTACGTATTACCCAGGTCCCGACTTTAGTTAATTCAGTGTTCATAGTTCTCATCAAGGAATGGAGGTCTGAGTTGCTGGCATAGAGATTACTATCGTCTGCAAATAAGTTGTATTTTATGAGTGGGCTGGCGTGGACTATGTCGTTTATGTACAACAAAAACAGTACTGGACCGAGAATTGAACCTTGGGGGACTCCATACAAGATAGGCGAGGAGTCAGATTGGTGGTTATTATAACAGACATACTGCATCCTGTTGGACAGATATGAGGTAAACCAATTGTGGGACAGGCCCCTAACGCCGTAATGTTCAAGCTTTGAAAGGAGGATGGTATGGTCGACAGTATCGAAGGCTTTAGAGAGGTCCAAGAATATACCGACTGTGAACTGACTGTCATCAAAGGAATTTAAGATGTCATTAGTAAAGGATAGCAGAGCACTCTCAGTCGGCCTTCTAGCTCTAAATCCAAACTGGGAGTCTGTAAAGATGTCATTGGCATTGCAGAAGGAATTTAGTCTATTACATGCTAGCTTTTCCAGTATCTTACTCAAGGCTGGGAGGACTGATATGGGGCGGTAATTCATGAAGAGACCTTTGTCCCCAGATTTTTTATATGCCGGGTGGACTTGAGCAATTTTCAGTTTATCAGGAAAAACACCACTAGTGAAGGAGGAGTTACAAATGTGGAGGAGAACAGGTAGTAATAAGTGGGCCACTTTTTTTAATGATGCTCATTGGTATATTGTCTTCGCCTGCTGCTGCATCTTTGGACATTTTTATGATGGCCAGTAATTCATCTGCTGTGACAGGGGATAAGAATACCGGTAGTTCATTTTGCTGTGTTTTGCAGGTAGGCTCTAAATTCCTCATGGTGATCATGGATGCTCTCTGCAAGATTTTTGCCAACATTAATAAAATATTCATTGAAATGGTTGGCAATGAGGGAGGGTTCCGTTATAACTGAATCGTTTGTCATAAAAGCCGAGTGTTCCTGTTCTGAATAGAATTTATGACATTTCAGGTTTTTTTACTATTGCAGAAGCTTCATGTGAATGGGTGTTCAGCTCCCTTACCACCTCTCCAGCTTTAGTATGCAGACTTTGCTTTGCACCAATTTTTTTGCTCACAACACCAAAATTTCAACTCCATCAGTTTTGCTTGCTTTGTCAAAGACGTAGAGGTATCCATTATGCGCAAATTTTTCTTTACCACGTTTGTTAATACTTCCTTGGCCATCATATGCATAAATGAAGGGTATTTAGTTAAACAAAATATAAAAAGATGGCAAAAGAATGAAACACTTGTGGTTGCGCACCCGTAGCAAACACAACTGAGACTAAGGAGGAACTCTGATGTCACCTGTTGGCAGTAACAATAGCGCCATCTGTAGTAGAGGTTAGTTGTTTAGTTCTGTTAGTTTGAAAGTCAGATACAAGTGTTACTTTGCATATCAACTCTTGAATTTAAAAATATGTAGAATAAAAACTAGTTTTCCAAATAAACGATGTTCTTGGCGCCAAAACGTCCATTGCCAAATGGGCTGGCGCCAAAATGAGTTTGGCGCCCAAACGGCTGTGGCAAAACATACCAAACTCATATTGTTACGCCCACATTACCTCAATCTAAACACATCGGCCCACATCCATCAAAAGAGAATGAACAATCAAGTTCTTTAACATAACTTTACTAAAATTAAATATAAAAGAATTACACGAAACAAACAAAATTACTTGAAACAAATTAGTTAAAGAGAAATTACATGAAACATAAAATCACAACCAGATCAGGATCTCTGCCCATTACGGTAATTGTAAAACAAAACACAGAGGCAAATAATGTACATACAAAAATAAACTAATATTAATCCCCTTACCTAAGATACCGATACATACACAGAACAACTACACTAGTTAACACAACGAACCTTACTCGGTCAATGTTAAACACTTAACTTTACACAGAAGCCCAACACACGAAATAACGCTGATAACACGGGGAAGGAGCCTTCACACGTAAGCTAAAGTCCCGTCAATGTCAGAAGGAGCTGAGAGAGTGACCCCCTGTTGGTGTCAGTAAGGGAGGTTGTCCATGAAGACCAGGTGGCAGTAGGTTCTACGACCTCCAGGCAATTGAAGTTCAGAGGAAGTGAGTCTAAACTTCTATAGCCACTATATATTTTATACCTTAATACTGACTCAGGATTATCTCTTCTAGGTCAGAAGGAAATACAAGGATAATTTTGTTTATATAATCAAAACAGCCATAAATAAATATTACATAACCCATAACCAACCCAGTCACGCCTCATCCTTACAAGCATACACACTTAAATTTAGAATTACAGCGGCTGGTATCAAACACCAGGTACCAGCTACTTCAAGCACCAGTCATAGGGGTATGCTATAATAGGAAATGTTCTGTAGAATCACTAGCAGAGGGCAGAGTCGCACAGCCAAGGACTTCTAGTTGCCTGACAAATAGAAAGGTTATCCCCGTAAAAGGCCTGGACTTTGGGATATAAATCCCTTGCCAGCCTAATCAGGATCTTATTAAAGGGAAGTCAAGAACCATGGGTTTCCAAGGGGTGACAAACAACTGTTAGAGATTGACATCTATAACAGTCAGTGGCTGCAATTTTGGCGGAACCAGGGGATGTAGTCGTTTCACCTTTGCTGACCGTATCTCCACAGCTCGTACCTTTGCTAGAGGTGAGGCTACACGCCGCAGTGGTGAGGAGAGAAGGGTTCCGTCAAGGGTCACAAACTCGAGAACATTACCAGTGAGAACACTAGCGAATTTAATGGGCTCTTTAACACATCAGACCAACCAATAAAATAGGGGCAATGCAGGTAGCACTTAACAACAGGAACTGGTCAACACGACCTAAGTAATAAGCTTACACTAACCTTCGAGCTGCTGGAAGAGCCAAGTCAGGCAGGGCTTCAGAGACAATAATACATGAGCAACCGGTGTCCCTAATAATATTAGATGCCCAAGACCCATTTATTGTCTTCTACTGAGCACAATAACGGGACAGCTCCTGTCTTCCAAACAGAATCTGACCTTGTAGCTGGGCTGATGAATGTCTGTAGATTGGTAGATTTGAAGGCGGATTCTGGGACGGCAGAACTTAATGTGCCCTTCTTCCACAGTTGTGGCACTCAGATGGCCGGGTGAACTTCTCCTCTCTACTCCTGGGAATGCCTGGAGGACGGAGGCTTCATGTTCTTCACTGGGAGACCTGGGGTATGCCACAGCGGATCTTCTGTGTCACAGCAAGTTGTATACCCTAGTGTCGCTCTCTGTGTTCCTTGATGAATATTGTCACAGAAGACAGAAACGATCCAATATCATAAAGTTGGTGTGGGACACTAAGTTTCTCGACTCTGACACCTCTAGCCATTGTTGAAAGAAATCCACCCAGGTGGATTGGAAACTGCTGGTATGTTTCTGCCCCAATCTTTTGTTCTGTGGAAATCAACACGATAACCATCAGAAGTCTTGTTAAACCCTCCCAAGTGAGCTTGCTTCAACAAAGAGTAAGTCTAGTATGTCGCAATAGGACGATACCAAACGTTTACCTCCGGGTAGGCTACCCAATCTACAGCATCGCTATCTTTGTCCACAACAAGCAGCGTAGCCACCCATTCAAACCTAACAAGATAGGACGATGTCTTCTTCATTTACAACAGGCAAACTAGGTTTTAAACATTTTATCTTGTCTAGGGCCAGAGTATTCTGGTCCACTTGGAGCATTAATCCTAGCTGGTTCTATGTCCTTTTCTACATGCAACTAGGTAATTCGAACTCTCTCTCTCTTTGTTGCGCCTCTCTCGCAGTCTGTTGGGTGATCACATACTGACCAACCTCCGCACCTGTCAGACCAGGGCCACCGCTCGCCTTTCAACTCCTCAAAACTAGACATAATGATACAAAAGTCCAGAAGCCAAAGTGACAAATTAAACAACTCCCAGCAACTAGCCATAGGTAACTATAGTGGCTCAATCAAACCATTAAATGATTCGATCCGTGGAGGAAACCTTGTTGCTTGCAGTCCAGTTAAATCACCTCGAAAAGAACACCAGGTGAATCAACAACAAAATGCTATGGCAGCCTCCACAGTGCACCCGACCAACACTAAAACTTCCTAGTATGAGGAAAGCAAAAAATTAGCACTACAGAAGGAAGATAAGCACAAACAACACTTACTTCCGGACCTCAGACAGCAAGCGGCGCCTTACAACAAACACCGGTAACCAATGTTAACTCTCAGAAACAAGGCTAGAGACAATCCTGTCAAGGTCCCCTTGTAAAGTTCTGACTTTGTATATAAATCCCTTGCCAGCTAATCAGGATCTTATAAAAGGAAAGTCAAGAACTATGGGTTTCAGGGTAACAAACAACTGTTAGAGTTTGACATCTCTTTACTAAGTCGCTCCGGACGT